TCTGCTTAGAACAAACTTGAAAAGAAAAGCTGGACATTTCCATAGGGCACCACAGGACCTTGTAAGTGGCGCTTCAGAATGCTGGTCCCAGAGCTAGCCAGAGCTTGTGAGATTCTGTCTGGTCTGCCTGTTGCTGCTGACTGGGCATGCGTAACGCACACAGGCAAGATGCAAAAGACAGGGCTTTGGACGACAGCTGAGGCTTCTCCCCAGCGATCAAGGGTATGTTGAGGTCAGGAACTCTCAGACCAAGAACTCAAGAAAAAGGGGAAGAGTCACAGAAGTCTTCATCTGCACAAGCTGCAATTATTAATTACATTATGCTAACATAGAATTTTATATAATTACAAAGCCATTATGTTCTTCTCAAACATGTTCTTTGATTTGGAGGATATAGTTTTCAAGGAGTGACAGAATTAATATAAGAAAAACTCTAGAATTGTGCTATCAAGTCGGTTTTCTTGGTCTTCTAACCCAAAGTCCCATCCACAGAACATCTAGTGTCACAAGATCTAGTGTCACAAGATTTAGACATCTAGTGTCTAAATCTGTTGACTCTGGAATTTTGCAAAAATGCCTAGCACTGGGCCAGATGCCCAGAGATTGGGACCTAAAATCAACATTTTGGAAACCTCACAGATGATCATTATCAACTGTGGAGGCTGCCCTGGTGCCTGTCTCGTAGCTGGGATGGGAGAGAGCAAAAATATGAACAGCTGGCACCACCAGGGCTCCAGACAGCCAGGAGAGAAGAGAGCTATAAAACAGGCAGACAAACCCATTGCTGTGCCTTCAGCAATCATCGCTCAGGACTGTCAACTTGTAAAATCTCCTTTCCTTATGTAAGAGGCAGACAGAGAGAGCTCCCATCTACAGGTCCCTTCTTCCACTGGCCACGATGGCCAGGACTTGGCCACTCCAAAGGCAAGAGGAGCTAGAAACCCAATCTAGTTCTCCCAGCAGCTGGATCTCCATCAGCCATCACCATAGCCTCCCAGCAAGGGCATTCCCAGGAAGCTAGAGACAAGGGTGGAGCTGGGCATTGTGATGTGGGATATGAGTTGTAAGTCCAGTCAATAGGTTCCAGGGTTTGCTGCTGATCACAACTTTCCAGTTGAGCTTTCCAGTTGAGCTTTCGTTACATTTCAGAGGCATGCCTATGACATATGGAATGCTAAGCAATCCGTAAAGAAACCCCATCATGAAAGGTGTGTCGTTATTTTTCCCCGATGTAGAATACAAAGGCTAAGACGGGTCAAGCACAACACCTAGTCAAAATATTTTTTTTCTCTGTAGATGAAATCCAGAGATAAGAGAAAAGGAATGTGTTCAAAGGCAGAATTAGGAAAGATCCAAGACCAGCAGATGCAATCTGGTGTTTCCTCAACCTCCTCTTGCTGCCCACAGGTGAACCCACACAGAGCCTCAGTCAAGGCCAGAACCTTCCTGGCTGGATTGGCATCAGTAGCGTGGTCGCCCAGGTGCCTGGGGTGAGAATGCAGGTACAGAGGGCAGTGGGGAGGGGGCAGAAAGGATCCCACTGGACTTCTAAACCATTGCTAACCCTTCTTGGAATATAATGTTGAATTCCAAAAAGCTGTACTGCAGTTTTGCCGGAGTTCAGCAGAACCATGGCAACCATCAGAATGGGTACACGTTGGAACAGAACACATTTGCACGGACCTGCAACAATCACTAAAGGTATCTCGACATTTTGTTTGCAGAAGCTACACAGACAGAGGCAATTAGCAAGAGGCAAGCAGTCACAATTTCTTATACAGAGTTAATGAGGCAGAGTATGAACTTGCTCTTGTCCCAGTCTGGGCTCACAACCCTTCCCTTCCATCTTCAGTTGAACTGTACAGGTCCTGGATGCCTTCCCCTTTGCTGTAGCTACTATGGGGCAGGAGAATTCAGGAGAAAAAAAATCTGCCTGAATTTACCTGCTAAATAGTGCATTGCATTCCAAAAGATTAGACTCCCCCCACCCCCCTGGGGTCTGATGCACAGTTGTTTAGTGGTCAGTATTTCTCCTCTGACTAAAGTTCTCAACATCCATCTAATACCTTCAGAATAACTTTAATACATAGTTTTGCCATTTAAGGCCCTGGGTGCTTTTCTTGCTACTTCTCAGAAATTCTTAGGCCTTCAGCCATGTGGAGCCACCTGGAGATTCTCAAACAATTCCCCAGATTTCCTGCCGCCTTGCGTTGGCTTTCCACTCTCCAGACTCCGATGTTCAAATAGGGGAAATTCTCAGGGGAGCCCTTCAGCGTCTCCCCAGGCTGGGCCTGATTTCCTGCAATTCTCCAACTCCTCCCCAGGCACACACACAGACACACGCACTGCCTCTGTTCCCTGCTCCCACAGCATCCTGTTTAAGTTCCTAGCATGCACTTCACTGAATGGCACTCATCTTGATGCATTGTCTGGCTCTTCTGCCAAGGCAAGAAAGGATCCGATCTGCCATGCTAGCCCATACTGATGGGACCTGCCATTTCTTCTTGTTGTTTTTGCTGTTGTTGTTGCTTGAATAGACAAGGTACAAAATATTCTTCCCAACTGGTAATTTTCCACGTGGAAGAAACAGGAGTCTCTCATTCTGGGAACCCCAAATGCAGGGTCTGGAAACAGCCGGAACTCACTGTCAAGGCATGCACTTCCCAAACCGCGACTTACTCATTTGTTGACTGGCAGGTAGGACTCTGTAGGGGAACCTCAGTTGCATCTGCTGATAATCCTCTGACGTTTGGAAAAAGGAGGCACTCATCCACCCTGTGGACCTTGGTCCGTTGGCTGGATATGCTCTCTTTTTCTGAAGGCCAGGTGATGAACTGAATCAAGGAAATAATGGATCCATGGTATTTGATTTTTTCCCAATGACTAAACCATGTTCAATGCCCCAGAGGACTAGAAAGGGCTTGGATTGGGCCCCATCTTCCAAAGTGTTACTGTTATTTAAACTGCAGTTGTGAACAGTAACACCTAAGAAACCTCTAACAGGACTAAAATTCTTAAATGATGACCCTTTGTCCAGGTACTTTAAGTGCTAAACAAATAGACAAATGCATACATCAGACAACAGTTGCTTCTCAGTGGGCTCACCCTCCTATATTTCTCACCAAAAACTTGTAGCCATGAAGTCCAGCTTACTGGGACTACGTTAGTTGTGTGGTCCTGGCCAAGCTTCTTTATCCTTCAGAGATTCAGTTCTCACGTTCTTTCTCTGGTTTTGTGTCATGGTAATGATTAAGTGACTTAATATACCAAAAGCCATCTTCCTTTCCCTGGTTCACTTGTCAGATAGCCACAATGGTTGGGTTGGGCTAAGCCGAAGCCAGAGCCCAGATCTTCATCTGGGTCTCTCCTGTGGGTGATTGGGTCTCAAGTGCTAGGGTCATCCTCCATTGCTTGCTTAGGCGTATTGACAGAGTTAGATTGACAGGGAATAGCTGGGACTCTATCCTGTGCTCTTGTACAGCATGCTGGTATCCCAAGCAAATGGCTCATCAGCACCACACCACAGTCAGAGCCCGGCCCCCATTTCTTCTATTTCAGTGAATTCCCTGGAGATGTATTTGGCCAAACCTTTACTGTAGATGGAATTCTGAACTAAACTGATACTTCCTGTTCCTACGATGTTTCTTTTCATTTCATGTTAAATAATACATGTGGGTTGAAACTGAAGTCACCTGTTTTCAATCATACTGATTCTACTTTTTGCTCTATACATAGGGTAAAGCTACCACATTTATAGTAATCAGCAGGAAGAGATTTGATTCTCCATGTTATGGTGGGCTGGATCTTATTCACCTATCACTTTTGTTCTCATGTTATGGTCTTGTGATCAGAAAATACTGTGTTGCCACAAAGCAATTTAATTAATATGTTAACATGTGGAAAGAGGGTAAGCTACATGTTGTGTATTATTGGAAGCAATAGAGGCAGAATAAATAATGAAAAGTATGATAGATCCAACCCTGAACTACTTCCATCATCTGAAATGTACTTTAGACCTTGGTTAGAAATTCAGATTTTTTTTTTCCCCCACTAATGAGCCTGGGTGTGGGAGGAAGCTAATTCCTAGAATTGCAGAGGACACTGAGCCAGTTCAGTGTCCAAGGGTGGGGAAAGAAAGTCGCAGAGCAATGGCTCGCTCCACAACGTCCCCCATGATGTGAGCAAGCCGCCCAAGTTCTTCGTCTGTGATATCAGTGGACCGCCTGCAAACTTGATGGGAAACCTAGATACCCCTTCCAGAAAAGCACACGTGCACGTGTGCGCGCACACGCACACACACACACACACACACATACACACTCCTTGTTGATCCACAGCATTCACAAACGCTTGCTGGGAGTGCTTTTGCTCATCTTTAGTAAATGAGATGTGAGGATAGATTTCGTCATCCTTGGGTTTTCTCGTTCAGAGCTGAGTATCACAACCCTGACTCACAACCACACCCGGGGAGCTCAGAGAGTTCTCTTTTTGGGCTTTACTTGCTCAGCACTTTTAAGAACTTCTGCTGATGTGCGTGGGAAGTTTTATTTTAGGAGGAAATAAGCAGAGATACTAATGTCATTCCCATGTTTGTTCCTATTAAAGAGAAATCCTCATTGCCATTCATTCTCTAGGCCCAAAGCGTATGGTTCGGGGGAGAAAGAAATGGACATGTTTGCCTAGCTACTGTAGGAAAACTTTGAGCAGTCTGAAGAACCCTGTCAATGCTCACCCATCATATATGAGCACCCATGTCGTTGGATACACAAGTCGATCTGTGAACTTCCGTGTCTATGTCTTATATTTTAAAGTTGGGGCCGGGAAATGTCCTTGATGCTACACGGAGCAATTTCTTCTAAAAGAGTTTCAAAACTCACAAAATGCAGTTCTTAAATCCTTTTTCGACCCTAGAGCTGAACCTTTAGGGAAGTTTACCATCAAAAATTTTTCCATCTTTATATTCTCATTTGAGACCAAGTACCACAGACCGAGAACAGACACATTTATCATGATTTATTGTGGCTGCATATCAGTTGCCAGGTGTAGTAAACTATAGACAGCAGAGAATCCTCAGAAACTATTTTATATATCATATTCACTTGCTAATGCTTACTACAATAATTGTAGCAAATTTAATTAGAATATATTTTAGCATTAGTCAAAAGATTAAGAAAACATTCTTTTTTTCTCAGTGCTTTGGGTTTGTAGAGAATCCCATTAGTTTAACTTTTATGCAACCTGCTTTGATATGTATTAAAATATATATATCTCCTCGACAAACCAGAAGGTGGCGTTGGCTTTCCTGAGCTGCTGAGCCTAATACAACTCCTTGCACTGTAACTTAACGCCCAGGTGGTACATTTTTCAGGCATTGTACTAAATGCAAATAAATAATCAATGACATAGTTTTTAAAGTGGCAACATGTGGAACATTCAGGTAAAAAAAAAATCAGAAAAACAATTTACACTTATTCTCTCCCCCACATCCCGCCCCTTACCCAGTTTGGTTTTAAAAACAAAACAAAACTAAAGAAACAGTTTGAATGTAGGTCCTAGTGCCTGGCGAGGCGACCCTGGCTTCACGCCTTCCCCTGCCGAGGGTCATTTTCAGGGTCCCCCGCATCTGTGCAGACTCCTCTCCCAGCGTCAGTCCTTGCCTGCTGGGAGGGCCTTCGGAGCGGCTGGCCCCAGCATGGTGCTCTCCCCTGCAGCAGCACAGGGCGTGGAACTGGTCCGAGTCTCTGTCATCCAGGTTCTCCCGTCCCTTTCCGTCCTCAGGAGACCCGCTGGAAGGGCAAGCCAGCCGGCCCCAGAGGCTGCATCGTCGGTTAGGGGCTCACAAACTCACTGGGTCTCTCAGGTGTCCGGCTCTTGGATAAGCGTCGGTCGGCATCCTCCGGGCCCTCAGTGCACCTTGATGGAGTATTTCCGTAGTTTCAGGAACTGGAGCAGCTTGTCTTTGGTCCTCTTCTTCAGGGCCATCAGGGCCCGCGTCTTCTCCTCCAGGTCCTGATCGATGGCGAAGATGATCTTGGCTCTCTCCTCGGCTTTCTTGTCTCCCGAGTTCCTGAAGAGCCTCTGCAGCGACTCCTGGTCTATGTTTTCGAAGATGTTGCCCACAGCCTTCTTGCGGGAGGCCGTGTCGAAGTGGTAGCCGTGGATGGAGGGGCTCACTCGCAGTGAAGTGGACATGGCGGTGGCTGCGTGGCTCCGCTTCGCTTTCATCGACGTGGGGCTCTTCGGAAATTCAGCTCCCGGGCTGTCCAGAGAGCCTGTGCCGGCTCCGTCCCGGGACAGGCTATTTAAAGTCTGAGCAGTGAACCTCCCTGCAGGCTCAGATTACACGCCGGTGACATCAGAGTGATCTCAGGAGGGACCGGCAGGGGAAGATTTTTAACAGTTGAGCTGCCAAGGCCCTTTTCTGGGATAACTGCTACTAAAAGCTGTGTCCCAGGAGACGACCCTGGCAGAGCTGTGGTCCTCTGACTCCCCTCCATGCATGCCTGTGGTGGTGGGACGGAGCAGACTGGAGGCGTTCTTTGGAAAGAGAACCGAAACCAGGGAACTACAAAGCTAAGACACAACTGGGTAGTTCAGGCTTTCAAAGAGGGGCGGGGGTTCTACTAGCTACAAGGAAGTGTTTAATTCCTGGAGAAGTTGTTAAAGTGAACCACAGGATATCTGGCAGCCAGGTTTCAGTGAATGAGAAAAAGCTTAATTATTGGCAAGGAGTGTTTGGAACCTATCAGCAGGTTCTGGACTGGGAGTTTATCTGACAAGACAATGCCTGGAACTTGCACCTTTAGACACTGCGAGTCTGTCATCACCAAAAACAATCGCAATTGAACAGTAATTATTATAACAGTGGGCAGGACTCCCTCAGGCTGGCACATACATCAAGCACAAGGGCGATCGCAACGGGGAGGAGGAAATGCAATCAGGTGTGTTAAGTACACAATGCACAAGGGCAACCAGTTGACCTTTTGTTTTAGAATTTGTTTTGGAATTATCTGTCCTTGGAAGAATTAAAAAGTATACTTCCTGCCTGCCACCAGAACCAGCCACTGTGTCCCCATAGATTCCTTGGTCGCCAGCTTCCAAGGGCCCCAGCAGCTTCCTCGAATCTGCACAGAGCTCAAGCCAGCTTCACGTCCAGGCTGCACTGGCAGGACCAGCACTGTAACACAGCATGTTAAACCACAGCTAGCAGCGCTGGTATTCCCTGTCACAGCATGGGGCTTTGCAGGTAGGGAAAGGGACACACAAAGGAGCCCGGTGAGGGGGAGGGGTCATCCAGGGACTTTGAAGGAGTTATAGAAAGGTTTAGGTAGAGAGCTAGAGGTAAGAAAGTGCAGGTTAAAAGTTAACAAAGTGCTCCAAGCAATGCGATGCCGCCCACCAGTGAGACCAGCAAACCATACTGGGGAGCTAGTTGAGTTCTGACATCCTGCCAGAGAGCGTGGGAAGTCAGCAGACTTGGGTCTAAGTACTTGGTCCCCGACACGCAGATCTTGGTGGAACTCTGGGCTCTTGGCTTTGACCTGGCCCTACCTGGGGCTGTTGCAGCCATCTGGGAATTGATCCAGTAGTTGGAAAATGGATCTCTGTCTTCTCTCTCTCTCTCTCTCTCTCTCTCTCTCTCTCTCTCTCTCTCCTTCCCTCCGTTTCTTCGTCTCTCTAATCCAGCCTGTCAAATAAGTGAATAAATATATTTTTACCAAGAAAACAAAGTACGGCTTTTGTTTCTTCTCATCTAGCCAAGTCAGATCTGGACAAAAGGAGAGAGTAGGGGAGTATATCCCAGAAAACTGCGTTGGAGACTCTTCAGTGAATTTCTTTTAAAAGATGTATTCACTTCTTTTGAAAATCAGAATTACAGAGAGAGAAGGAAGGAGAGAGACAAGGATGTTTACCAGCAGATTCACTCCCGAGACTGGGCTATCTTCCGCTATCTTTCCCAAACTGCATCAGGAGTGGATTGGCTGTGGCACTGACTAGCACCTGTATGGAATGCCAGTGTTGCAGGCAACGGCTTTACCTGCCATTCCACAACACTGACCCCCTCAACATTTTTCTTGCAATTTTCATTTCATTTACTTTCATATTACTCGAAAGGCAGAGAGACAGAGAAAGATTTTTTTTATCTGTTGGTTCACTCATCAGACACTTAGGACAGTTGAGGTTGAGTCCGGCTGAAACCAGGAGCCTGGAGTTGCACCCAAGTCTCACGTGGGTGCCAGAGACCCAAGTATTGGAGACATCACTGCTCCCTTCCAGGCTGCCCGTTATCAGAGAGCTGGGATTGCAAACCGTGCTGGGTCCCCAATGCAGGCACTCTGACATAGAATGCAGATTTCTAGCGGTGTTAACCACTGCACCAAAAGTCTACCTCCAGAAAAGATTTCTTCAAAACCTACTACTAGCTGCAAGACTGCTGACACTGGGATTCAGCAAAGCAGACCACTCAAACGCAACAGAACAAAAGAACCTGCCCTTTCGGAGAGCAGCTGGCACCCTACTAGGAGCTAGGCTATAGAAAGCTATGTACTGATAATATGTTGATGGGGTAATCCATACAAGGGGCAAAAAAGAGGGGACAGGCTGTGTCTGAGCTTCTGGGCTTTGTTCTCGGTCGTAGCTTTGACTCTGAGAGAGGTCAACTTTGGAGAGTTGGAAGCTGAGAAATGGTGTGATTTTTCTTATAATTTTAATTTTGTATAGCTTATTTATCTGAAAGAGAGACAGCGGAAGAGGAAGAAAGCCACACCTACACATACATAGAATGAATGAAAGAAAAGGAAAGAAAGAGAGGAGGGGGGATCTTCTTTCTGCTCATTCATCCCCCCAAGTGTCTGCGTTGGCTGGAGCTGGGCTTCTCAGGTGCGTTGCAGGGTCCCAAGCCATCAACCATCACACCCACTGTTTCATTAGACATAGTCACAAAGAGTTGAATCAGAAATGGAGCATCCAGGATGGAAACCTGTGCTCCCACGAGACACGTGAGCATCTTGAGCAGTATATAAACACCCTATCTCCCAGCCCCACCCCTACTGACAGATGAAGTGTGACTGTCACTTCTTAGCAGAAAGTAGCTGCCAGCTCTGATGATGGAGGGAGGGACCGCAAAACTCAAGTGGGCAGCTTCGAGAGCTAGAGACCAGAATCAATCATTTTAAGATAATTTTTTACAAACTCAGCAGAAGAAGGAGAGACAAAAAGATCTTCCATTTGGTGATTTATGCCCCAAATGACCGCAACAGTCAAGGCCACACAGAGGTCAGGCAAAAGCCAGGAACCAGGAACTTCATCCAAGTCTCCCAGGGGAAGACAAAGGCCCAAACACTCAGGCCACCTTCTGCTCTTTTTCCCAGGCTGTGAGCAGGGATCTGGATCAGAAGTGGAGCAGCCAGCCCTTGAACCACTACCCATGTGAGTTGCTGGTGTTCCAATCTGCAGTCTTAGCCACTCCACCACAACCGCACACCTAAGTAACCTTTCTTGGAAAAAAAAAATCAATCAGAAGGAACACGTCTCTGCAGACCCAATTTAGACTTCTGACACCCTAACCTGTAAGATGGGAAATGGGTGGGGTTTTTGGTTACAGCTGCAATGGAAACCAACATGCCCTTCACTGCCCCCTGCTGTGACCACACAGCTTGAACCCAGACTACCTGATTCCAAAGCCTTCAAGCCCTGGACTTCACTGCCTTCAAAGCAGCTGCCAGCTCTGCTTCCAAAAGTCTGAATAATATTTTGACGTGACATTGAACAGTGCTCCCGAAGGCCTGCCTAAAAGCATTCAGATGAATCTGAGAGATTAAGGAGTTTCAAAATTGTTTAGAGGACAAGAGTATCCACAAGGGAAGCAGTGTGGGTCTTGCTTCCCAGCAGTGGGATGCAGCCTGAGGGGGAGAGTTTGCCCGTGCCCTTTGCCAAAGGTGACTCCGTTAGTTTTGGGAAAAGCCTCTTCCTGCAGACACCTGCTCTCTCCTTTCCTGGCACACATGATGTGGGCGATGCAATCTGAAGCATTGTTGGCTAGAGTCCACACGTTGTGTATGGACGTCTTCCAGGGCCGTGCTCCTTGCAAGTAAAGACAGGTGTCCGTGGAGATTATGGGAAGCAGCTGGCCAGTGTGCTGGCTTCTTGCATCAGTTCCCAGGGTACGCGCATCGGCAGCCGCGTGTGTGTTAGCAACGCAGGTCCTGGGCTGCTTGTGTTCTGGAGGAGGTGTGACCAACGAAAGGAAGAGTAGAAAGTGAACCTTTCCTAAGCACCTAGTAAAACTGAGTGTTTCCCATTTAATACCTAAATTATTCTTCATACAATTACTAGGAGTAGATGTTATTGAAGAATCTTTATTTTGACCAGAATCAAGGAATCAGGCTCAAAATAAATAAACATGGCCACAGTAAGTGCTGAAAACTGCATTGATGTTAAGATTTTTTTTTCTCTCCAAAATTTCCTGTGGGAAGTTTACTGCCCCTTTGTTGGATGACTTAGCTCCTCCTGCCAGGTTTATCTTTTTTTTTAAATGAAAACTTTTGATATAGAGTGATTCACAGCATTTGTGCTTGCTAGGGGCTGTGGTACATGGTGCGTATCCAATGATTAGTTACCAAATTACTAAGGGAAAAAATTTAAGTACACAAAAAAACGACTTCAATGGTGTCTTTATGCACCAGCGCTGCTCCCTAGCAATTTCCTGGATCTGGATAGAGCATGGAAGCCGGCCACCTGCAATTTGTACCCTCAACTTCCCATGGAATGAGCCCTGGACATTGGTGTCTCACAAGAATGCCACGGTATGCTGCAATTTACAAGCACTTTCATGTACATCGTCTCCTTTGGCTTTCAAAACACTGCTAGCGTGATCCTCACCTTGCAGGAGAGAAAGCTAGTTTCCCAGTATCCTGCAGTGCCAATATAGGCCACGGTTGATCCTAGAGTTCTCATTTGATGATTCTAAATCTTGGTATCTCCAGTCCTTGAAAAATGTCTCGATTTCAACATTGTCATCTTCATTTCAATGCACTACAAAGTAATATTATTAATTTACACATGTCCTGTAGTTTGACAAATCCAGCTGAAAGTTTCTCCACTCATGTTCATGACCTGCTCTGTGCTAGATAAAGTACTGTATCCTTAAGGAGGGATGTGTTTGTGGAAGATGCTGGCTAAAGGAAAATTGAGATTTTATGCAAATAAGCAAATACAGAATCATGCAAAGAATTCCCGGGGCTGGCACTGTGGAGTAGCATGCTAAGCCTCTGCTTACAGCATCTGCGTCCACTGTGGGATTTCTCATCCAGTTCCCTGCTGATGGCCTGAGAAAGTAGTTGGAGGATAGCCCAAGTTCTTAGGCTCCTGAACTCACATGGGAGACCCGGAAGAAGCTTCTGGCTGCAGGCT